CATGCAGCACGGCAGCCAACAGCCCGCTCATCTACTCACCCGAGCAGCGTACACCCAGGAAGGCAGGCAAAGAATGTCCAGGCCAAAGGAGACAGGCCCAGACCAGCATCATCATGACCACCAGCCTCAGAACAGTCGCGACCGTAGAGAGTAAGCACCAGCCAGGCTAAGCGAGCCGAGGAATACCACACTTGCAATGGGTGTGATCGCCAAGACCGCCAACGCCCAACATAGCCATTGCCAAGGCCCCCACGCGAGGAGACCCAGCAGCCAGTCGCCCACCACCACCACAATCCCAACCGTAGAAGTCAAGAGAGGGGGCGTAACCACCAGGGTCAAAGGCATCCCCACCCATGTCGGGCAAGGAAGTAGACCCCACAACCACCCGTAACTGCCACACGAACGGAAAACATCGTGGGAACGGGAGGAAACAACATCGTAGGATTCCGACCGAGGAATGTAGCCGACAACCAGGTAACCCAACCCATAGATAACAGGTAGGACCCGACCGTAAAAGTGTGATGCGATCGGTACGACGAGTTAAAGGTACAGAGAGGTCATCAATCAACTCTGTAGGCGTTAGTGCCACTGGAAACAACGCGTGAAACAACCAAAGGGTGGGCCTTAGAACTCCAACACGAAGTATGGAGGCGCCCGATCCTCTCAGCGACAGGGTGATCCCCCCACAACAACCACTCCCAACCAACTCAACGAACGCGAAATCCTGCGAGGAAACAAGTACAGGAAAGCCGAAACATTTTACCGAAGAGAAGACTCATCAAGCAAAAAAGAGGACCCCCCAGCCCATACAGCCTCACGATAGAGACGAGCCGAGGGGTGGCGAGACGAGTACCACAACCAAACGAACACCAAACAACAACTCGACCAACATCAACTTCAACCAGCAGGACTACTAGGCGAACCCAGATGACTCCCCCACAAGTATCAGAAGAAAGGCTTCATCGTCGCCGTGCGGGAACGAAAGAAAGGGTGTCCGAAGGAGATTACCAGATTGCGTAAAGAACATAAAATATAAGGGGGCACACCCCCTTATATAGAAGAAAATCCCCCCCCGATCACTAATACAAAAGAAAACCCTTGGCGTCGCGCGCAGCCGCGACGTCTCCACTATGTTCCGCCAAGTTCCGTCACGCGGCCGCATGTCCCTATCAAGTACCAAGAAAATCCCTCACATAGCAACCGGAAAACCCCAACCAACATATGCAACCAAAAATCCAACAACTGTTCCTTCTCTGCTGGGTGGCCGTGACACACCTCTAGGTTCATTTGATTGGTATAATCAGTTGAAAGTACCCATTTTATATGAGAAAGTACGAAATATGTTACACACAGCCACAATTCTTTTTGCCCTAGTACTCTTTTATCAAACATAGGGTGCAATCTTCAGTATTAAGCTCCTGATATATACTGAGTAATAAGAAGTATAATATGTTCTGTATAAATTTACCAGTATAAAATAACTCAATATCATCCAAGTACAAAGAAGTACAAATTACAATTAATCCAAATATCTTCAAGTTACTGATATATTAATTTGGAAATTTTCCAAAAAAAAAGTAGAGAGAATTATAGATGCATATCAGTAGAGAATACCTTTTGGTACAGCCTGAGTGGACTTTTTTACAGCTGTGAAGCATAAATATAAAAGTCACAGTTGTGTTCCTAATATGCTAGAGGTTGATTAATCTATTATTTACAGTTTGTAACCAGTTATTTATTTTCTGTAATTATTCTCCTCTTATGATGCACACTAAATACAATGTATACCAGTGGCATTGCAAAATGTAATGTCTTATATAATCAGGTTTAGGAATATTTTGAAGATTTTTAGGACAAAACTGTAGGGTTTGTGAAATTAAAAAAACTTATATGCAGAAAAAATAATGATAATATTATTATACAGGATAGTATATCTATCAAACACACCTAGGTGATTTATACTTTCTAGCTACAAGCTTCTCATACTCTGAAGAGCTATGAATAACCTTTAATCGATAAGTCTCTATCTACTAAACTATGTGAGATGTATTGGTTAGATATATGGAATTAAAGAAGAAGAATAGGTCAGAAGAAAGTTATAGAAAGATATCTTATAATATTCTAATATTTTGTCTATATTATTATATTTTCTATTTCTTTTTTCTATGAGCATCATGACACAATAGTATGATAATATATAAAATATAAAAATTATGAAAATAAAATACAAAAAAGTGAACTGGACTTGAACTCTTAACCTTCAGAAACTAGAAATTTAGGTCTAAGTGCTAGTACCCTGATTATATAAGGCATTACATTTTGCAATGCCACTGGTACACGTTGTATGTGGTATGCATCATAATATATATATCTTAACTAAGACCCTGATATTGTAACCCTGCTGTGGGATATTTAGATATTTGCCCTAAACCCCTGGCATCCTAAGCCACAAAGCCACGTAACACTCAATTTTAGTCTCGTACATGTTTTGGAGTGCACGAACCATAAGTTGGTTACCACGGTTTGGGATATGACTTGTAGTTAGCTGTTGTTAGCTACGAATATTATGAAATTACTCCGAAAGCCGCTAAGCGACCTTCGAAGTTTGATGGCACTCCTACGGAGTGCCTAACAGCTCTACGGTTGTAACAGCTCAACGGTACTGGCAATTTGTATGTGAATTTAAGGATTAGGAACCACTACTAAACATTCTCAGATGCTTCAAATGCCCTTCTGACTTTCTCATACATTGTTTTAAGCCTTTGCAAATAAGTCCTCCATTTGTTTTCCTCTCTCTTACAACTTTTATTTTCCTGTGGTGGGAATTTTATTTGGATTAAGCGTGAAAGTACCGTTGAGCTGTTACAAACGTTGAGCTGTTAGGCACTGTCTTTGAGAGTGCCCAGGGTTGCGAGCAAGCGAGCAATCTGGGGTTGTGACGGAGTCACAACCTTGGCCCGGTTATACAGAATAACCTTTTGGTCGGGCGCACCGTACTGGTGATATATCTGCCTAAAATTGGTAATTCTGTGCACGCTTTCAGTGCTGACGCGATTATTATTATGGCTGCCGGAAACATTGCTACTCCCAGAATTCCCGCTGAAGTCTCCGCTAATATCGGCGTGCGCTTTTCTAGTAGGATTATTGGACGGGTGCTGATGATTTCCCAGATTATAGATCTTGAAGGGAAGTGGATCTCAGGTGCTCAAGTGTTTAGCTCTCTGTCGGGCCGTTTTAGCAGGTTGGGTAGAAAAGTAACCTGATGTGGCTAGCGTATCTAAAGCTGGAGAGGTAGCCTATATTTCGCCAACGGAGCTAGTTCAAAATCGGTTTTCTAGCCCTGAACCAAGTCAATACCGCGAGATACGGTATTCCTAAATGTGTAGCCGAGGACCCTATCATCCCTTGGATATGGAGATCAATAACTCTAGTTTCGAGGCGGTTATGGGGTGGATTCTTAGCCCAGGAAGTTCGAATTCAGTGAAGTCAAAAAATTTGATACAAGGGTACGGAATGGGTATCGGAGCGACAGCGCCTCGGGGCAGTGAGGAAGATCAACCCACTTCCGTATCCCCCGAGTGGGGTAGAGGCGCGAGAAAAGCAGACAATGGGTATTGTGGCTACAGAGCTATTATAACTCCCGGCTAAATTTAGTTTGGGAAGTGGGCCGGCAGTTAATCGGACTTCGGTCGCGGCTTGGGCAAAGGCCGGTATTTAGTGCATATCTCTTTTACCCGATAAGAGATAGTCTACTGGTTAAGCCTCATTTCCATCTCGCTTACAGTGCGAATCGGTTAAAACCTTCCGCTCACAATGATACAAATCCGAACCTAGAGAGCCACCCACGTAGTCCGAATTTTACAAATAGCAAACAGCTGCAAGATAGCTCAGATTCTAGTCCTAGGTGCTAGCGGTTTTATTTTTTTGTCAGAAGGGAAAATTGAGAGAGTCCATCGAATGCACTGGATACCTGGTGATTTTGGGTGGGCGTGGAACAAGTTCCAAGCTATCACCCGCGGGAGGCATTCAGTGCCTCTCTTGCCATTCGGACTGGAAATTCCCCCCAGATTCGCATCTACTCGCAGATGCAAGCCCGGCCATGTTCACGAATTTCATGCCCTGGTTGTGGGCAGGGCGAAGGAGCACTGGTAGAGTGCTCATATTGTGTCGCATCTCGCTATCTCATGCGTCAATTCTGGTCCGTAAAGTTTGATCAACTCTTTAGTATGATCATGCGCGTTGTTCAGCGTAAAGGATGGCGCTCTCCCGTCCAGAAAAGAAGAAGGCCTCATAACCCCGCTCGCGTATCGCCAAGGTCCGGTAGGTTCATGGGTACTTGTATATTCCGGGAAAAATCGGCGTCTGGGGTGTCACAAAATGCACAGCAACTCTCGCACCGCTATGCATGAAAATTTTCGCGGGCTCGAGGCCGCATAAACCAATCACTGGGGAACCGCCCAAGTTGTGACCTCGAATTAAACCAATCGCCTTTCCCAAACTTGAAGGGGCCCAGCTATGGTGTGGAACACCTTGCTGTTTGCATTTCTCCAGCCCCAGGCGGGGGAAGACTTATTTCTGAAGCGGGAATTCAACATTCTCCCCCACGCCAAGACCTTGTTGCCCGCACACTGCTAGATTGCGACCTGCTCAGCCTCCATCATCGCCCTGGGTGGGATTACACTTCATACCTGCGCCAAAATCAAGAATCGCGAACCTCTATATCCAAAATTTGGTTCGTGATCATTTGTTTTGCTATGGTAGATCTTGGTCATTGACTTCCTCCAGGGCCCCGCGAAACCATTGTGAACGACCTCAATCGGCAACTTTTCAGTGACCACAGCGACATCTTATTACTTCCATACCCGACCTTCGAAAACGGCGACAAACCGAGCCAAAAAAAAAAAGCACGATGGAGGGGTAGGTTCACCCCCCCCTTAATGCTTGCGTGGTTTCAAAAGGAACCGGAGTGCTGATATGCGAATATTCCTAGGGGATCCCAAGTTAATATTAGCGGGAAATTCAGCGGGAATTCAGGGGATAACAATGTCTCCGCTAGTTATAATACCGACATAAATTTGCGTTACCTGAACAACGCGGCCAATCTCGGAACACTATATCAAGGATGTGTGATTAGTGCTGGGGACCGAGGTATTTTCAGCTTCCCCGAGACCTTTCCGGCAAAGAGCTAACCTACTGCCATGACCAGAAGAAGCATCTAGGCCTTATAGAATAATTCCCTATAGCAGGAACACCAAATTCACTGGCCGTAAAAGTATCATCGACTCGGTAAAGAGCCTCTCCAAGCGTAATGGCCACAATCGGATTGCACTTCTTGGATTGGGCGGCTCTGGGTATGCTTCCATTAATTCGGTATCTGAAGAGCCCTCTAACTTTGCTCAGAAAAACCCAGATCGCGATCGAATATGTTCATCAGTGTGCGAGTGAGAGGGATTGTAATATTTTCTGGGTGCAGGGAAGCGGAGTGTTAAAATTTAAGGAGGGCTTCAAGGCTATTGCCCGACATGTCCGAATTCCTGTAACTAGCGCCGAGACGGAAGAGGGATTCCTATTGAGTGTCAGGAGATGGTTTGAGGGTGCAGATAGTGGCGATTGGATTCTAGTTATCGACAACGCCGACAACGAAGAGGACTTTGTTGGAAACAACAGTCACATCGCTAAGTTCGTGCCACAAGGCCTCCGAGGTACTCTTATATTTACCACCAGATCTCGCCGGGTCGCATCTCGCCAGGATTGCGAAAGAATCGAGGTGGGAAAAATGGAGGAAGATGAAGCGCGAGCCTTGTTTTCGAGACACTATGGTAGCGGGGTAAATTTGAGGGATGGGGAAGAAGAGGTTGTTTCCATGATCCTAGGTTCGGTGGGCCACTTGCCGCTGGCTGTGGTAGGATCCGCAGCTTTCATGGATGAGACCGAAACACCACCCCGCGAATACTGGACCATTTTCCGGGAGAACGATAAGGGAAGAACGGAGCTACTTTCACAGAATTTCAGCGATATCCGCCGCGATGTCGACATGACAGAAAGTATTTTGAGCACGTACTTCATCACCTTTGACCGAATTACAGAACAGATGCCGACCGCCGGCGGCCTCCTACGGCTGATTGCGCTCTTTGATCGTCAAAATATACCCGAGCAGCTCCTGCGAGAATCTGGCGTTGAAGGGGTAGATGATCCGGTTGGATTCCGTCTGGCTGTTGGAAAACTGTCTGGATTCTCATTAGTTACTACTAGCAAGCGTGAAGACAAAACATTTTATGAGCTCCATCGTTTAGTGCAGCTATCCATACAGGCCTATTTATCGCCGGAAGAGTGGAATAAATGGCGTACAACCGCATTGCGAGTCGTCTCCCGGATATTCCCGAAATATGGGCACGAGCTGCGGAGTATCTGCGATGCATATATTCCACACGCACTTGCGGTAACTGACGGACTTATGGATGTTATTGCGGAAGACCTTTGCTTCCGTATGGCAGAGTGGTTTCTACATTTGGGTTCCTACGACCGTGCAGAAGCCCAAATCCGTCGATGTATCTGTGTACGCAGGGAGAATAAAGAGCAAGGCTGGGATAAGGGTCATGAGAGACTCATGCTATTAGGACGTGTGAGCGCATGTCAGGGAAAGGCTCGGGAGGCAAAGATGATACTGCAGAATGTACTGGACCAGCTCACGGGGTCATTGGGTCCAAACCACCCGGAGGCAGTGGCATGCCTATCCTATCTGGGAAGTGTGATGAGTGATCTCGGAAAGTACGGTGAATCTGAGGCGATGAATCGGCGTGCATTGGAGGAGCGTGAGAAGGTTCTTGGACCTGACCACCGAGACACCCTAACAAGTGCCATCAACCTAGCTCTAGCGCTGCAATACCAGGGGAAGTTCAAAGAATCAGAGGCGATCAATCGGCGGGCACTGGAGTGGCACGAAAAGACACTTGGACGACACCACCCCAACACTTTAACCAGTGTCAACAGCCTGGCTGCGGTGCTGGAGCCGCAAGGAA